TTTTCTCCTAAATATCCTCTTAATGGCAATTCTTCTCTTAAATCTATAATCTGAAGTTGTTTGAGTTCATTCTGAAGTTCTTATTAATCGATTTATGAATCTGTCATGAATCTGTCATTGTCCTATCTGCAGAATCGATGTAGGTTTCTTTGCTGCTTAATGTATCTTTATGCCTGTTTGTGTGCTTAGAGAATGAAAAGATCAATTTCTTAAAAAAGAATGTGCCAAAAACCACTAAAATACTGCTCGGAATGATTGGCAATAGGTTTTGTTGATGTTTCCTGGTGAAATATTTGAAAGTATCTGTAGATCTAATTGTTCCCCATAACCTAAAAGTGAGATACTTAATTTTTTTAAAAAGCATGTGTTTTGATAGTTCTTGCTCTCAAATCCTGCATTGAAATTATTTGAGGAAAAGTTAAGCCTACAGGTTACTTCTCACACTAATCTGGAGGCTGTTTGCATTTTTATACTTCTAAATACAAAGTAAAACTTTACAGCCTTAAATGTTTCGTCAATTACTTGAAATGAGAACACCAACTTCTACAAATTCCTCCAGTGCTCTAATCTTTAAATCTGTTTTGTAGTGTGGGCTATATCTGGAAACATTAAAATTTGAACTTTAATTGGATTCAAACTATCCTACCTCAAAAGCAATTTAAAAAGTGCTAACAAATTGCCATCATTGAATCGTCATGCCTCCAAGTTTTGAATACTGATAAGTCAAAGTTTTGTGTCATAAGTGGCTCACATTTAAAATCAAATAAACTAGTCATAATAATATCTTTTATAGACCTCCATAAAGATTTTCTGGAGAAGGGAATAGTCTTTGGAGAAAAAAAATCAAGCACCCCGTAGTGCGGTGATATCCAAAGGGTGGTGTGTGAGAGTGGTGAAAGTGTGCTGTGAAATATGATACTTTTTTTTCTTTTGTATTTCAAGTTGGGAGGGCACAGTGTACTTGCAGAGCAGAGTGCAGTGCAGCCATGTGCCCGGTATGAGCCCAGTGAAGTAAAGGGCTGCTTTATATAAGATCTCTGGGGCTCTAGGCAAGCCCAGGGTGAGACGTATGAGTTATGGAGGAATGGGACCCCTAGTGAGTGAAAGGGTCAGCTGTCTGTGGATTGACCCGGGGCTCTTGACTGGCCCAAGCTGGGACCAGGGCATGAGTGGCTGAAGGGAAAGTATGCCCACTATGAGGGGAAGGCCAGAGTGGTGGAGAGCTCTGGTAACCCTGACTGCCCAGAGAGCAGGGTCAGGCTCAAGTGAGCCATAGGTTTCAAGGGAGAGACAAGAGTGAGGGGTCAGTCAGCAACCAGTCTGAAATGATAGAGGCTGAAAATCAGCCACCTGATGGGACTAAAGGGGCTAAGAGAGAGATGGGGACAGCAACTGAGGGTTATGTGATAAAGTGGAGGCTGGAAGAGAGTGCCCAGGAATGAGCAGCCCAGGAAGGAGCCCGGAGGGGGTGAAGAAAGACCAGGGCAGGTAGGCCTACAGTGGTCCTGGGGAATGACCTAAAACTACATCCTTCTGGAGTTGGATGGTGTGGTGGGGCTGCTTGTGGCGGGACAGTCTTCCGAAAATGCTACACCTGTGCCTCCCTAGTGATAGGTGAGTATGGGGCACCAGAAAGTATCAGCCCTCGCTGCCTTGTGAGTGACTCTGTGGAGGGGAAAAGCTAGGGGAGCAGACCCTGAGAGAAAACCACTAGGCTTGGGTGGCAACACAGGGGCCCAGAGAGCCAAAGGCCTGAGAGTGAGGCTTGGGGGACAGCACAGGGGCCAGGAGGGCCCAAGGCCCAACACTTGAGGGACTGAGGCTTAGTGGGAGAATTGAATAAGTATTAGGCCTAGCATGAGGCCAGGTTAGAGGTCCAGGAACATTAAGAGATGTCTGAGGCATGAGTGGGCCATAGGCCATGTAGGGGGTCCAGGCGTGTCAAGAGACATCTGAGGTCGGATTGGGCTGTAGGCCGAGTTAGATGTCTAGGCGTGTCAACAGACACCTGAGGCATGAGTAGGCTGTAGGCCAAGTTTGAGGCACCTGAGGCCAGAGAAGTCCATGGGTCAGAGTCAGCCCAGAGTGTGGGGTGGTAGGCCTGACAGCCCATCATAGAGTAGGGCCTGATTTGGGTGGTCTGAAGGTCTATACGGGTCAGGACTGAGAGCGCAAGGGATGAATCCTGAAGGGCTGTATACAGTAGGGAGCCTGGGTGGTCCTGAAGGGCTATACAGAAGAGGGCAATGAGACTGAGGCTCAGCGAGGTACAGTGCAACTAAGGCCCAAGAAAGGGACAGAGTGAGTGTGGCCCTGCTGGGGTAGTATCAGAGAGGCTCAGCCTGGTAGTGAGTTTGGCCCAATAAGGGGCCAAGAGAATTGTCACCAGTATGTGATGACATCTGTGAGGCATGGGACATGGTGAAGGGGAGGTCAGAGCTGTGTATTACAGCATCAAGGCATTAAATGGGCAGCCTCCCACCTAGGAACAACTATTCAGTTACAAGAAAGGCATGGCAGGCGAGTCAGGTGTGTGGACTGCCTCAGACAGGTGGGTGGGCCAAAGTTGTGACTGGCCTCGAGATGGCCCCCTGCCACAGCCACCAATTTTAATCCAAAAAAAAAAGTGTGTCCCAGAGATCAAAAGTCTGGGAAATGCTGCCTTGGTGCAATATATTGCATGGGAAAACTATCTGCAGGGTCACCTTCAGTAGTTAGTGGTCCCTTGTTCCCACTGTGGGTCACTATTTCAGATGACGGGTTCTCATGCCATATTTTCTCCCAGTATGTTGCATACAATACTGCATCTTCCCTGAGACATTCTTGTTTGTATGAAAAAGTAGATTTAGATAAGATTGAGAAAATAAAAGTAGCTGATTCTTTTGCTTTTGACCCTGCACAACTCTTTATTATTAAAAAAATCACTTCTCTTTTCTTTTTAGTAACTTTAATTCTGACATTTTTCTTTCCTTTTTGCAGACTGAAATCTCCAGTCCTTCCCTCTTTCTAATTTTCAGAGGAATCTAGGATCATTAACTATAACTGTGAATGCAAGTCTACAGTTGATAACCAAATGCAAGTATTTAGGCAGCACATCTTTGCCTATGGTGAGTATCTGGAAGGACTGGACTGGCACCCATCAGTTTCCTTCTTATTGCTGACATCACTTGTTCTCCTCCAACCACCTAATCAGCCCACTATTGTGGAAGAAACAGCAATCGGACATCCTCAGTGGGGGAAGAAGAGCTTCTGTTCTGGATTCTAGAGACTAATTTAAGGTCATTTCTGTCTTCCCTTCAGTGAGAAGCAAGGGATGTATACTTCTCCCGCTGATTCCCCCCCCCCCCCCCAAAAAAAAAAAAAAAAAAAAAAAA